TACAACATGCATAAGATCTATGACAGTTCTTACAACCATTTACAGACAATGACTTTTAAGAATTGTATCTATAACAAAAATACAAAAGGAACTCCTTTAATCAAGCAATGTATAGATTTTTAAAAAAAATGATGGAGCAGCTATTGCGAAGGACTTAACACAAGAGCCATGAGCCACTGCCGAATAGGGCAATGTCATCAAGAGGAAACAAATATTTGTTAAGTATGAAATAGAAGACATAAACAATACCAGTTAAGCTAGACACAATTAAAAGAATACCTATGTTCACCTTTTCCTCAAACCACACATTTTTAAAATGGAGGAAAAAGAAAAAAACAAAAACAAATGGATACATCTTAATAACGAGATGTTTTCACACAAACGAGTCAGCAAAATCTACCTTAACAAAGCAGACATGTCGAGGTTAAGGTATCACATGTCTCTTTTATTTTGATTGTTGACCCTAAAAATCAAATTTTATCGTATAACAAAAGAATCTGCATTTTTATCTTTTTTTTTCAAAGAAATGATAATTAAAGAGAGAAAATAACCCTGAAAAAGTAATTACAGTACTTACAATACATGCGATGAAAATTTTCTGAAATAAAATGCATGAAAAACAATCATTAGGTATGCTACAAGTAATTAACAAGTATATTTGAAGGAACTGAATATGAGTATTTCACTTCAGAACTGTCTTTATGGGACAGAACTTTAATATAACAGTTTTGAAGCTGTATGTACAATAGAATATGACAAAAATTGATTACTAAAAAACTGAACCAAATGTCACTTGCTTGCACAGAGAAGTCCATATGCCATTCAGCATTCAAATATTTATTCGCAAGTATCTAAGTCACTCCATAAGTTCTCTCTCAGAAAAAAGTAAAGGAGGAGGAGGAGGAGGCAAGAAGGAGGAAAATAAATAGCTGGTAAATATTGTCCAATCAAGAGGTATGTAAACAAAGCATGCGTCCCTCTACCTACAATCTGCCCTAGTTTATGAGTCCAGTTGAACTGTAGTTTACGTTGACACAGCACCATGACAACAACAGACATATTATTCAGCAGCTTCTTCCTTTATTTTTTTATGTAAGTGATTTTATGCCTCTATTTACACACTTTAGATCATTTAAGAGGTGGGCTTCTGACCCTGCTTGACTGACAGGGCCACATTGGGCTCAGAGGGATTCAACACCCCAACAGAAAGACTAGGATATTCAACAAAAATTCCTCTTGACTTAGGAATCGAACTCTGTTCTCCTGCATGCGACAGAAAAGTGCCTGTACATTACCCCACAGGGGCCAGTCATTCAACTGCAAACAATAGTAATACAAAAAAACAAAAACAAACAAACAAGCAAACTTCAAAACACCCACCAAACCACCCGTATCCAAGCGTCAGAAAATTTGACAGTGCAGAAACCAGGAGTCGGTTCTGTTATCAGGTCTTGGTATTCCGATTAGTTTTAGTTTAAGTACAAATTTTACGGCACTTGCAACACAATAAGGTCATATTATAAGTGCCGGAGATAGTATAAAACAAAAAGAAGGAGGAGAGATGTTCGATAGAAAAGAAGGAGCAAAACATACCACAGCACCCGTCAACCACATACGATTTTGTTACAAGAGAGTAACAAACACAAAAAAGAAGGACGACAAATGTTTGATAGGAAAGAAGGAGCAAACCACAATAGAGCATCCGCCGACCACCCACTCCTATTTCGAGGACGGAGCAAGGAATTACTGCAATCGTCAGTTTGAGGGTTTACTAAGATGTACAAAGTAACACTCACCCATGAGCACAACTTCCTTGGGAGTTTTCTGGTGCTCTTGTGCCACACGCATGATCTGTTCAAAGATGATCCGAACCACTTTACTGTAGGCCTTGTCCAGGTCTGCGTGGCGGTCTGAGCCACGGAAAATGTTCTCTGCCAGGTTGGCAAATTCCTGGAGTGGAATGAAACAGCAGGTTGAGCCCAGAGTGTTTTTTTCAGACTTATAACAACCCATAAGTTATGCAAAAGATCAAAATGACAGAAGCATTTCTCTCACAACAATTCTTTCCACTCGTGCCAGTTTCTGTCGGTTAAACAAAAACTTATGAGTAATACTGACTCATGTTGCAAGCATAAAGCAACGGTACAGTAAGTATATTGTTGCTGTCGCACGCTATACACTTAAGTCTAAATTTGTTAATGTTCTATTTTTACATCCTCCAAAAGCTCTACCAAAGATGCACCTCTCAACATCACCAAAATGTTGTTTAATACTATGGTCAAGGCTTACAATTGTCTTTCTTTTCACGATTACTGAAAAGACCAACACAACAAAAATTTGTTTTTTGTCTATTGTGTGAAAAGTATCCAAATGGACTTAAGTGGATAGCTTTAAACTCCAACGATATATCCATTCAACAACAGTAAAAGCCAGTGTCATACAGAGGAACCTGAGACCACATATTTAAGAAGTAAATCAATTCAAAGCAAATGTCTTTAGACATCCGCTCACCTCAAAGTTGTGAACAAAACTGATGATGCCACATCTGTTCTTCTTGGAAACCTTTGTCTCTCTGACACTCTGCATCATTACATCCTGAGAACAGAAAACAGCAAAGAAATTGCACTTAAGAAATTATGAAACAAAATTCAAAGTATTAAGAGAGACTAATTATTTCTCAAAGCAAGAGAAGGGTAATTGCAAAATGAAGACCATCTGTTCAGATCCTGGAAAGAGAGTAAACAGTCAGAGGAGAAAGACAAATAAGCCAAGAGACAGCATGATTACCTCTTATATCAAGGAGGAGAAAGAGGTTGTCAAGTTGACAAACTTCTCATTTAATTCAAATAAACCCCAACATACACATTAGGATACTAACTAGTACCTGACATTCACTGTCATCCGATTTAGAACAAGGACATAACATTTTCAAAACACAATTCATCTGACATTAGCACTCACACCCTTCATTAAGACACTCTGCCTGAAACAATTTGCATCAACAACCCTTAACCTTCTACCATTTTACCCCATAAAAAATGCTCAAAGAAACTTGTAAATTCTTCGCCATATCGACAGGCCGAAGGTCTTGAACTCAGATGACCACTGGATTGGAAAAAAACATGAAAAGTAAACGAAAAACTATTGAAAAATAAAGGAGAAAACTCACCACATAGCGGTCAAAGTTCCTCTTGACCTTGATGAGACAGTTGCCGAAGGTCTTTCCAAGGAAGGATCCCATATCCTGGTTGTTGATGACGTGCTGAGACATTCGCACCAACATGTACATCGAGTACCTGCCTCAGAGAGACCAACACACCAGTCAACACATGTTAAGTTTTAGTAAGTGTTTTACGGAGCTCACAACTGCATAAGGTCATGTGAGAGCGCGGAACACATTAAATATTTTCAGTTTGGTAGGACTTAATTTTGAATTTTTGCCAGGGTGGCGGCTGAAGCCTACTCTTATCAGTTTTGGACCACAAATGGGATCTTAAACATGCACAACTTGCACATGGGACCTCTGAGATTTTTCACCCTTATCTGAGAAGGCTTGCTGTTTGACCTTACCTTCCCTAAGATCAGCGGTCTGTCTGAAAGACAGGAGTAAGAAGGAGCCAAGAAGTAACAGTAGAAAAAAGGCAGCAGAAAGAGTAAGGAGCTCAGAGGAGGGGGAAGTGGGGTTGGGGGCAGAAAGTGGAGATTCTTCTTCTTCTTCTTCCTCGTTCTCGAAGAAAGTGGATATGAAAATAGATGACAGAACATGGTTAGAGAGCAGGAAAAAGGGTGAAAGGAGAGTATCTTAGAGAAGAAAATTTCCAATCGCTTTCAGGTTTCGAACCCAGGACCTATTGAAAGAAAGGCGAATGCTATAACCTCTAGACCACGAGAGCCCCAAGTCAACCCATTTTTAAAGATTATCTTCAGATGTCCAGCCATATTGATGATGACTGTGCTTGTGATTTAAGCCAGAAAAGAACATTTATGGGCCATTTAGGCACCTCTCACTTTAGACTGCAGTGCATGTACATTATGAGACACACTCCAAAAACAAATTTGCCCTGTACAAATCTTTTTAGAGCCACTGCGGGTTCGTTCCCTGACTATTCCTGAATATACACGGCATTGTTACCTTTAAAAAAAAACTCACTGAGTAATGCTGATCCATGGATATTTATTGACAAAGATAGAAAAAATAAATTATGTCTCTGTCTCTCTCTCTCTCACTCCCCCCCCCCC